CTGTCTTGTTTGTTGAGATGGGGGTCTTGCTAACCTCTTTTACCCAGACTGGCCTCAAACCACACACCTCCCAAGTAGCTCAGAAACTTTAATCTTTGGACACTCAACATGCAGTATAGTATCTTCCACACAGAGTAACAAAACATTTGATCAACTGATGCATTTTTAAAAAGAAGAGAACAAGCTGTTATTTCCTATGTGGACAGAGGCAGGTAGACTACATCTGACTTATAAAATACAGTCTGTATGTACAGTCCATCTTAAGACTACTTTTTAAAAAAAAAAGCCATCTTAGCTCTCAACAGGAGCACTATGCTTTATCACTAGTATTTTTCAGCTACCAATCATTGCACTTAAGAGATTCAAATGAGTTTCAACAGTCCTTGAACTACTTTCCATTATCAGCTCCAATTTTTCTGGTGGCAATGGGGTTTGAATTCAGGGCCTCACACTTGCCAGGCAGGCACTCTACCACTTGGGCCATTCCACTAGCTATCTCCACATTTTAAAAAACCAATTAGGGCTGGCAGCATAGTTCAAGTGGTAGAGTACCTGCCTAGCAAGGGCAAGGCCCTGAGTTCAAACCCCAGGATTGCAAAAAAAAAAAAAAATTAAAAACCCAACATGTTAGTTATACGAAGAACAAAACAACTAATATCCACCATTTATGGTCTGCTTAAATGAGCAAAACACTTAGGAATTTGTATCAACCTACTCAGTCCTAGGTACCTATGAAGCAGGTGACACTGTCCCCTTTTATAGAGTAACCTGTTCAGGATCACACAACTACATATGGCAGAGCTGGGATCCAAACCAATTTTAAGATAATGTTCTTTCCTCACGGCAGCACAATCTTCTAAATATCAATCATGATTCCCAATGCTTATTTAAGAAAAAGATACAATTATTAGGTTTTTTTTTTTTTGAAGAACCATCTGAGATTATAAACTCATCAAGTAAGCTTTAAGGTAAGGCCTTCAACTGAAGACAAACAATAATAAGGGATAGGGCTCATATCTACTTTATTTTAGCCTTCAACTTTTTTGTCCTGGTCAAGGCCATTCACAAAGAACTCTTCTGGTTAGGTCTCTCTGGGAAAACAATGAAACAAACAATCAGAAGAGGAAAACTTACATAATAAAGAACTGGCCAGAACTGAAGAAAAAAGAAAGTCAACTACTCTATAATCTGCTGGAATAACTTGTTTTTATGAGGCCATCGTTAATTTTTATCTCACTACAAGAGTTAGAAACATGTAACTGTGCCTCTTGTATAAGATCTTTTAGTAGAGAAAGCAGTATTCTAAGTGGCTTTTGGCACATATTAGGAAATAGAAAGTACTTTTAATCTATTTTCCTTTCTTTAGCATTCTCCTTTAAAAAAAATCCCCTCAGAATACAGCACCAATTCTTAGTTTCTCCATTATAATATGCAGATTACTAAATTCATATTCATGTAGCGATCAAGATAGTTCTAAAGCTTAAAAGTTATTATATAACTATAATTTCCTGCCCCCTAACTAGTGTAAATTACCATCTCCCTAGAAAAATGTATAAACCAAGGAATTTTTTAAAAGTTCCTTTACAATGAAATTTTAGTTCATTCTCTAAGGTGTCCTCATTTAAAGGAAAACCATTTTGTCTCATGCCACTGAAAGAGCAGGGAGCATAACAAGATGCAGCAATTTAGAATTTTCTCTCTACTTATGTAGGATGTTCCCTCATCTCCTGCCCAACAAAATATAGGAAATGTAAAAATCTACAGAAAAGGTAGTATTAAAACAACAATGATCAACTCTAATAGATGAAAAACCTAGGACTATGTGCCACAAAGTAACTGGTGAACTTTCTCCCTAGTATGAAGTAGGCACTGGAAAAACAGGACTTTTCCCAAGCTTGCTTCCTGGTACATATCAGCAATATCATCCCCACACATCTGACTAGGTATTGTCCCTCTTCCCCCCACCAAATCACATTATTATCTATCTTCAAAATGAGCTACAGTCCACATTTACTTTAGAAGGATCCATGGAAAGAAAAACTAAGGATTAAGTGTTTTTGCATGAAATATATACATGTTTTCCACCACAACTAGAAATCTACCCATTCCTTAGAGTCAGACCACCTGGGTTTGATTCCTGATTCCAACACATACCTTTTGCTGTGAATGCAAGAACACACATTCTTGCACCTCAGCTTCCTCATTTGTAAACTGGAGACAATAGTACTTACCTCTTACCGGCTATTAGGAAGACTGGATTACTATGTGTGGCGTGTTTAAAACAAAGTCTGGCACACAGTTAATGCTCTAAGTGGTAGCTATTATGATTATAAACCAATTATCTGATGTTACCTCAGGAGTTGGTGAACAAGTTGCAATGGCTAGATTCTATGTCTCTATGCCTAATCTAAGTGTGCACGTTCATGACTATGTCAAAACTATTTATAAAATTCTACTACAGGAAGTTTGATCAATGGGTACTCAGTTACAGTTAGAGGAAGGAAGAAGTTCTGGTGTGCTGTTGCACAGTAGGGTGACAATAGATAACAATTATGAACTGTCTATCAAAAGGCTAGAAGAAGGGGTTTTGAATGTTTTCAGCATGTTTGAGGAGACAGATGTTTAATCCGATTTAAATACTGCATGATATATATACATATATACACATACACACACACACATATTTAAACAACACATGGGACCCACCAATATCTACAATTATTTCAATTAAAAATTAAATTAAAAAAATTGACATCCCAGATGCTTATTCTGAGTATGTCACAACATATCAAAGACTGCATTACCATTTGCACTGTACAGATGAGAAAAGTACTCAGAAAAACTGGATTTCCTATACGCAAAATAAAATCCTATACCACATATGATTATTTCAAAGCAATATGTGTACACAAGCAAGGCTGGGTCTTATCGGAATATGATCGGAGAAAAAAAGAAAAAGAACTCGATTAAAAAACAAACCAAACCAAAATCTTGTATTTCCCAACTTAAAGATTATTAAAAAAAGGGCTCATTACAAATCTGGAGAGAAATTAACAGATTGATTAACAGGCTTAAGATCACACTGCTAGAAAATATTGCAAGCAAGAATGGATCAAATTTACCTAACTCCAACTCCAGTGCTCCTTCTGTTTCTGGATCCACAGCCAAGTGAGGGAAATGCACTTTTTTGCAGCAGCCCAAATCTCTGGAGACTCTGCCTAGGGAACTAGCATCAAGGGAATTTGCTCAGCCTGGTTTTATAGAGGCTGCCTCCCTTATCTATAGAGCTCCAATTCTAAAATGGTTTCAACATAACACAAGCACTGCAAGATGGGAAATGTACAGAACATTATAGTGTAGGATCCACACTCCAGGGGCTGTCAGTCCATAAATATTTGCTACAGAGGAAAGGGGATATTCAGTCTGAAACTAAGTGTATTGGATTAGGCCAAATCACCTCATTTCTTATACAGACTTCATCTGTAAGATGGAGTGAGTGGTTCTTATCTCACTGAAGGCAGAGCTAGGAAAATAATTCAGTTCTTACCGGATTTTTGGCCTTCTATTTCAAACGCCATGCTTAAAATTCTAACTTGGACTGAGTAAAATCAATAGGTTTTACACTCAATATGCTGCGTGCTAAGGACATGGAACAAAGGAAAATGAGGGCTCAACAACCCTAAGTAAGAAATGGGGTCCACTGGAAGCGGTCAAGAAGAAATTCACTAAAACCAAGTGATATTCATATAAATGTCCAGCAGGAAATACAAAAGGCTGAGCAACCATGTGTTCAGTTCTAAAATCTGCGTGTGTGGGGTTTCATATGAACAAGTGAGACACAGTAAGAAGTGAAGACAATTTTCATATTCTTGTAAGTGCATCACCTTTCTGTTTTGGCACCTGTGAATGGCTGATTATATATATTCATAACATCATCTTGCCAAATTCCATCTCCCACACGGTGCAAGTAAAATCAGAGCCTGATGCTATCTGGCCTTACCAAAGAGAAATGCAGTGAAAGCAAGGACATCATTTTTACAGAAAGGTTGCCAAATTGTCTTACCAGTACTGTCACCTTGGAAAACCCCATTACATGCAGAAAACCTCATTATATGCAAGTTCTCCATTTGCAATAGCCACAGATGTCTTCTGAAGAAAAGGGGTCCACATCCCTCCCACCCTTTCCCCATCACCAGGGAGGCCAGTCTACAAATTTCAGATTAAAAAAAAAAAAGTGTATGGGGGAATTTGGGATCTGACATTAAATGACAGTAAATACCATGGGAAAATTTTCAGTTCTCAGCACTGTGACATTGTTTTCCTGGGTATCTGGCCTGACTCAGTAACCGGTTCCAACAAATCCATTTCTTCATTCAAATAAATCTCAATCCTGCTCTTCCTAGGGAATCTCGTATCTTACCATGTTCCCAAACCAGTGGAGGATGATGAAACAGCTTTACTGCAAAGTGGGAGCGGTGGTGGGGGGGGGATTCCCCTGTTGTCTCCCAAGGTTAAACCCCTTACTCATCTAGGGAGAGTCCAGCAGGGGAATTGGGTTGGCTTAAATTACAATTTCTGGAAACCACAGGGAACAGAGAGAGATGACAGGGCTGAAAGGGACGGTTCTCGCCCATCCAGGCGCATCCAGGCGCGGGGAGGGGTCGCGCGGGGATAGAGGAGGAACAATGAGGGGGCGTCCGGGTTCCAAGGCCCGACGGTCCCTTCGGCTCAGTACAGAGCAGCACCCCGCCCGCCGGGCAGGGCCGCAGGCGGCAAGGGTGGCCCGGGCTTCTCCTAGAGCCGAACGGCCCGGCCCCGGAAACAGGGAGGGGCCGCAGCGAGGCCAGGCCCGCGCCGTAGGCGGCCGCGCGGGGCAGAGGAGGCAGCACGCCGCAAACCCCTCTGGAAGCACCCGCTGGGCCGTCGCTGCTGCCACCGCCCTTGAGGGGCTTCGAGCTTGGGCCCCTGGGGGCCCCGGGCGGACCCCGCGCCGCACTCACCGTGGGAGGGCTACAGCGGGAGAAGGCGCGTCCAACGAAGCTCTGACGACGGCGACCGCTTCCTTCCCAAGCCCTACTCCTCAGGCGGCGGCGGTGGCGGCGGCGGCGGTGGCTGCAGGGGCTGCAGTTGCGGCGGCGGCGGCAGCTACCCCGTCTCCGGAATCGGCGGCGGTAGTGGCGGCAGCTCTACTTCCGCTCCCGCTACCACTTCCGCTCCGACCCAAGTCCCGCCCCGCCCTGCATCGTCTCCTCATTGGGCAAGCGAGGCACGGGGTTGCCCCGGCCGCCTGAGAAGGGCGCTGACGGAAGGGAGGAGGAAAAGGAGCTGAGGGCAGGGATGAGGCGGATGGGGGTGGGAGCAAGGAGGAGGCCGGCGAAGGGGAAGGAAATGAGGCGGGGGAGCAGGAAGAGGAGGTGGGAGGAGAGAGGGCGGAGCTGGAGGTGGTCACGGTGGAGAAATGGGATGTGTGGGAACCAAGAAGACTTGGAAGGAAGGTTTGGGGTTGCCTTTCAGCTTGGGTTGGAACTTACCAGGCCCAGAGATTCCGCAGGTTGTAGGGGCCCACGCCACCCTGAAAAAGTACTCTTCATGTGGTCGGAGGCCGAGGTCAGCCCCATTGGCTGGGTGTTTAGGAAATACTATAGGGGAGAACAGAAACTGCTCATTCCTATATTTTCAGTTAATCCTTTCAATCCTTCAAGATACTTACTACTCTCCTAGATTGAAGAACCCACATGTGCTAGGAATGGAGCACTTCAAGGTCTAAAAAAAAAAAAAAAACCCTGTGTACATTGATTCGTTGAGAATACCCCACTCCTCAAAGCTCATTCATAAGGGAAGATTCTGGGAAGGATTCAGGCCTCCAGGGCTCCCCCACCATGACTGTGCTCCCTATTACCAACATCTTACTCCCCTCGAGACAGTTGAAGTTTAAGCCCAGCCCTTGGAAATATCTCTATTGTCACTCCTTCCCTTTCCTTCATTGTTTTTAACAATTCTTGAGCAAGCTTTCTGCTTAACACTGGGTAGAAAGCAAGGAACAAGACAGACCGGCGCCCTGCTGTCTTGGAGTTTACTCGGTAGGAGAAAGAACAAGGTAAATAGGCCTTTGTCATCCCTCCTTTACCCTTAATGATAGACTTCTGATTCGCCACCCTTCTCTCAGCCCGGCCACCATCAACTGCCAAGTCATCTTTTTAAAATGCCATCCTGATCATGCCCTGGTCTTGTTTATTTCCTTTGGTGGTGGCTCAGACCTAGAAGGTCCAAGGTTCTCCAGAAGCTGTCCTTACCATCAGCCATTACCTGTTATTTCTCCCCAGCATAAATACTCCAATTCATTTGCATAACTTCTTATCCTTCGGACCCACCATTCCCGTATCTCTAAACAGTTGCCAGAATTTTTTTAAAAACAGCAGAAATCTGCACCTCTGCCTTGTCTGGGCAACACTGTATCCACATTTCTGTGTGGCAACAATTGCCTGCAGCCAAAGAGTGGTTCTCTACTCTAGATGGGACATGAACTTTCGTAAGTGTCAGGTTTAGATGGGACATGAACTTTCGTAAGTGTCAGGTTCCTCTCCCAATTTGTAGGTCTTCCTCATGTTATCTGTTGTGTAGACATTTGTGTTCATGGTCCCTGGATTGTACCACACGGTCTGAGCCAACTACTACACCACCTCTTAACTTGAACAAGATTAAGAGTGTGTTTAATGTAAAAAAAAAAAAAAAAAAGCATAGATTTTAATCAAAACCACTGGATGTGAATCCTGGAGAGGTTTCCTAGTACAAAACCTTTCCCATGGGGATCTGTCTTTGGCAGATCAAAGACCAGCAAACCAGACACTGCTCAAATTGCAGTAACCTTTAATGTGACATGACTGTCTTATGACACCATTCAAAAAAATAGCCTACTGGGCCAGAGACTCATACTGATTACACCACAAATGACATCATCAGTGCATTGAATAAACAGAAGTGCCCTTTGTCAGCCTCCTCAGGTGTCTGCTAATGGGTGACATGGATTAGCTCCTTTTACCATCTCTGCATTCTAGGCCAGGGGTCAACAAGCCACAGCTATTAACTGACAGATTCACAAAGATAAAGTATGTTAACTGTAGATGCAACCATAGGACCATCTCTATGTGTGGGGTTCTATAGAAACTTGGGAGAAGGGTACTAAGCCCCTCATGGGAGTGATGGGAGTGTGAGAAAGACTCCCTGCAATATATGATACTTGATCCTTGGGTTCTGCAATGGATTTTTTAAAAATTAATAGGCTTTTTATTTTTAGTAAAAGTGACGCTAAAGTTTATTATGAGAGGAATATGCTTTTAACGGACTAAAAGTAGGTTTTTCTCTGGAGTGAGAACAAAGGGTCTGGGGTGGGGGATGAAAAAGAGAGATACATTTCCTGTTCCCCACACAGGAAATGGGAGCAAAGGCTCTAATAGGCTTTTATTAAAGAACAATTTTAGGTTTAGAGAAAGACTGACCAGATAGTGCACAGATTTTCCAGTATTTCCCCCATGCACAGTTCCTCATATTGTTAGCATATTGTATTCCTGTGGCAAATTTGTCATAGTTGATGAGCCAGTATTGACACATTCTTATTAACTGGGGTCCATAATTTTATGTTAGACTTCTTTCTGTTGTACAGTTCTATAGGTTTTGACCAATGTAGATGCGCTATTATCCACCATTAAGTATCATTCAAAAGAGTTTTGCTGCCCTAAAACCCCTCTTTGCTTCAGTTATTCATCCCCTAATCCCTCCCATTCCCCCAACCTTTGGCAACCATTGAAATTTTATACTCTTTATAGTTTTGCCTTCTCTAGAGTATCATAGAGTTGGGGATCATAGAGTATGTAGTGTTTTGTGATTGGATTCTTTCATGAAGCAATATGATTTAAAGTTTCTTTATTTTTATAGCTTGATGCTCGTTTCTTTTTGTCACTGAATAATATGCCAGTGTTTGAATGCACCACAGTGTGTTTATCCATTAATCTATTCTTCAATTTTTAAGAACTGCGCTTTCCGAAAAGATCAGGCAAAGCCTTATCCTTGGTATCTGTGACCATGACCTTATCTAGAAAAGGATCCTTACAGATATGATCAGGTTAAGGCGAGGTCACTGGAGTGGTCACTGGTGTCCTTAAGGAGAAAAATGCCATGTGGAGTCAGATACATATGGAGGCCACCATGTGATCACAGAGGCAGAGACTGATGTGCCTGCGATCCAAGGAGCACCAAGGGTCAACAGCCATCAGCAGAAGTTGGGAAGAGGCATGGAAAGTCTCTAGACTCTCAGAGGAAACATGGCCCTGCAGAGGCATCAGTTTCAGACTTCTAACTTCCCGAACTGTGAGAGAATACATTTCTGTGGTTTACAGTACCCAATTTGTAATGGTTTGTTATGGTAGCCTAGGAAACTAATAGACACATTGAGGAACCTCTCTATCCAGCTAATTATGAATAAAACCACTATAAATATTCATGTGTTGGTTTTTGTATGGACATCAGCCTTCAATTCATCTATATAATACATAGGAGCGTGATCATACATTAACGCTTTTTAAGAAACTACTAAACTGTCTCTCCAAGTGTAAAATGGCTGTACCATTTTACATTGTCACCAACAATGAGCATTCTTCCCTTTGTGTGCCAGCATGTGGTAGAGTGAGGGCTTTTGTTTTGTTCTGTTTCGTTTTTTGTTTTCTGGATTTTAGCCACCATTTGGATTGGTATTTAATGGTGTCTCATTACATTTTAATTTACAATTCCTTGATGACATATGGTGTTTCATATGTTTATTTGCCATCTCTGTCTTCCTTGGTGAGGTGCCTGTTCCTGTTTTTTGCCCATTTTCAATTGTTTGCTTTCTTATTGCTGAATTTTAAGAGTTCTTTGTATATTCTGCATACCTGCCCTTTAGGAAATATGCGTTTTGCAGAGATTTCCTTCTCATCTTGTTTATTTGTTTGTTTATTTGTTTATATGTTACTGGGGTTTGAACTCAGGGCCTCACATTTGCTAAGCAGGTACTCTACCATTTTCTTCTTTTCTGTAGCTTATCTTTCATTCTCTCAACAGTGACTTTCCAGAGCAGGAATTTTGAATATTAATGAAGCCAAACTTACCAATTTTTTTCTTCATGGATCATACTTTTGGTATCTAAAAACTCATTCCTGTCCAGCCTGGGCCAAAAACTTTATGAGCCTCCCATCCCCCCACCCCCCCACTCCCAGCCCCCAATCTCAGTGGAAAAAAGCATGGTGGTGTGTATCTGTCATCCTAGCAACTGTGGGAAACATAAAATAGGAGGGTCAAGGTCCAGGCTGACCTGGGCAAAAAGTGAGACTGTATCTCCAAAATAACCAGAGTAAAGAGGATTGGAGGCTTGGCTCAAGTGGTAGAGAACCTACCTAGCAGGCATGAATCCCTGAGTTCAAACCCCAGTCCTGCCAAACAACAAAAACCCAGAAACCAAAATCAAGCCAAAACAAAACAAACCACCTCATTGCCAAACACAAAGTCACATAAGTTTTTCCCTTACATTACCTTCTAGAAGTTACAAATTCTGTATTTTACATTGAGGTCTGTGATCCACTTGAGGTTAATTTTTTTATGAAAGGTGTAAGGTCTGTGTCTGGATTCACTTTTAAGGCATGGAGTGTGCCAGGGCCCTTTGTTGAAAAGATTATCTTTTCTCTCTTGAATTGCCTTTGCTCCTTTTCAAAGATCAGTTGTCTGTATTTCTGTGGGTCTAATTTTGATTTTTCTGTTTGATTCCATTGATCTAATTGCCTATTCATTTTGCCAAAACCAGACTGTCTTGATTGCTGTAGTTTCATAGTAAGTCATAACGTCAGTGTCAGTCCTCCAACTTTGCTCCTGTTCTTCAGCATTGTGTTAGCTGTTCTGGTCCTTTTGTCTTTCCATATAAGCTTTATAATTGGTTTATTGACATCATAAAATAACTCATTAGAATTTTGTTTGGGATTGTGTTCAATTTATAGGTCAAATTGGTAAAACCAGTATCTTAACAATATTGACTCTTCCTATGAACATGAGATATTGCTCTATTTATTTAGACTTTATTTAACTTCTTTTATAAAAGTGTTATAGTTTTGACCAGGGATGGTGGGTCACATCTGTAATCGCAGCTATTCCAGAGGAAGAGA